TAACTTTTTTAAATGCAATTTTAAGATGGTACTCTTTAAGATTCATGCGTCTCCCTTCAGACGTTCCTCAAAGATTCAAAATGAAAACGCAGCGATCGGCAGAAGAAATAAAGGTGAAGATCTTGCTGTGCGACTAATGCTTGGTGAAAAGTATCAGAGAAATCAGAGAGCTTCTTTAAAAGCTGTTCATCCGGGAGCCAATCGGAGGTAGCTGCTCATTTAAAGCATTGTAACAGAAAAGGTACGATACCTGAGGATTTCACTTCTTTTCCCCAGAAATCAACCATTAATTAGCAAAAAAAACATTTTCTTTCCTCACCATCTAATTGGCATCACATTTGTCAAGATACAGTTAAAGAGACTGCTTAATTAATTAAACATAGCACCTTCCTTGAGTGTTTGAGAATACAGATGTAACCCTGTTTTTTTGTTTTTTGTTTTTCTCCCAACACCTCCCGTAAAAAGAATCCAGCACCAGATTCGATAAGATTTGTTCTCTTTATCACTTTAATTAGCACCTCCCTCCTGTCCCCTTTGCAAATGAGGGCTAGGTGGGGGGGGTTTGGGGATTTGATGACTTAAAATGCACACAGCTAACGAGTTATTCATACCCTGCACAGCTGTTAAGGCAATTTAACTGCTTCTTCTCCGTTCCTCCTCCTCCTCCTCCTTTTTTTTTCTCCTTCTACTCTTGATGCCTGTCGAGGAGGGAAAGGTAGCGAGAGGCCTTGCGACTGCTCCATTACCTCCAAAGCTCTATGATTCAAAAGAACGGCCACCGTTCCCACCGTTCACCTGTAACAGGAGAGCTTTTTACAACCATTGAGGAACCCGCAAGCATTCTTCATGCCACTCTGCCCACGCTGTGAAGGAGTAGGTGTTACGTAGGCAAGAAAAGTGCAAAGGAAAAGAAGCCACACACCTGACTGCTCTAAAGCTGTTCTTGTTCAGGGCTACGAGCACATTTCTATGCACGCTGGATACCTGCGTGCTTCACCATTGGCCATCTGTCGCCGCGCAATTATGATCAGAGTAAAAAAAAAGAAAGAAGAGAAGTGCCTGAATGAAATATCCGCACCTCGGCTCCCGTGCAGATTGCCCACCAGGACGCGGCTTCTTCTCCCTGGATTGAGCATCCCCATGATTTGAAAGATCACAACTACAAACACCGACACAGATGCGAGGGCGCTTTACTTAAAGCCACGGAATTAAGCTCAATACGGTTCAAATATTGCTTCTACATGGTCTGAGGATATTTAGGAACGTAGGGAACCGAGAGTGAACGGCGCTCTTCTCCTTTTTCATTTCAGCTCTCAGCCCCCGAAAAAGATGAATATATTATGCACAATTCAGACCGACAAGTGGCGAGGCACTTTGACGCGCCAGCGGCCTGAAAATCCGTGATGCAACTTTCCCTGTTGAGTCTGTTTTGGTCAGTGCACGAGTGGAACCATTGTGACAAGTGGCGTCTGCTGAGTGGTGTTGTTCATCGATGAGTTATTGCTTTAAAATGAAAGTGGTAAGACAGGTTTGGAAAAGGAAAACGGGTTCAATTAGCACTTCAAATAACGAGTGTGCACTTCAGCCAAATCCGTAGAAAACGCACAACAGGCTCCATCGATAGCGAGGAGTTGATTCTCTCCCTCTCGCCGCACGATGAGTTAAAACCAACAATTGTCAATGTTTTGCCTCATGCTGGACCGCTACGCCCTTCCATCTGTAATATATAAATACACAGCCGTGTGGATCGGTGGAGGCCTTGGCTTAAGCCTTGAAGGTGGATCCATTTGCCGGTTTCACAATGAGTTGTGGAGAGGTGGAAGGTGGAGCCACAGCACCGTTGTTGTGTCTGACGGAGGATGCTACGTCTGTCTGCGTAAACCCCTGGAACCCGTTGTTGTCGGTGATCTGGATGAGACGAGTGGCACAAGCGCCACTTGTTTTTCTAGAGATTCAAGAGGAGGTAAAACAAGTCAGTGATTCATCTTACTCATTTCCACACCTAAAAACTCCTGTTTCCGCTTCTCCGCGTTCAAAGGTGGAGGAGCCATTGTTTATTGTTTGTTCACCAGGCGGCTCGGCCGGAGGAGACGCGTCCGATCTGCGCCGCGGCGACTCCGCAGGGATCGCTGTCATTAGAATAACTTTATTAGGCTTTCTGCTGCATTTCCTGTTTGATTTACTGCGCAGTCCCAAGGGCTCATGGGACGGCACTTAGGACTCGCCGGCACCAGACGGACCGGCCCATGTTGTGCCGTGACAACCGGAGTGTAACGTCCCTGTTGATCTGCCGCCCGACGGCGCGTGCACTCGGTGGTGTGACCATTTGTGGCGACGGCGCAAAGGATTATGGGTATGTTTAGGGTTGTGCGCTCTTTTTTTTACCCCCATACAATGACGTGTTTGATATATTGTCTCAATGGCTGAAGTTTGATTCTAAAAGTTTGAATTGGTTCACGACACTTATTAGTAAATTAAAACGTGACACATTTCATCCTCGTTTACACAAAGTCAAAACTTCTGTGCCACTTTTTGGGCTTTGTCTCCTCAGTCCGTTCTATACTGAGAGCTCACAAAAGAACTATTCAAACGGAATCAACCAGAATGAGATAAACCTACAAACACGGGCAGATGTGGGTAAAAAAGGAAAATGAACATCTGTACAAATGTTAAGAGCCTTGTAACATTTTTTAAGTTGAAGGGAAGGAGTTAATGTCCCGGTTTCAGCCACAGCCGAGGGGCGTTTTAGTCCACTTTCTGTTAAGTGATGTACACCGAATTAAAACGCCACGATACAACGCTCACTTGAAATCTGGTTCCATGAAGCCCAAACTGCTGTTTTTGCGTTATTCCCTCAAGTCATCTGTGAAGTGTTAATGTGCACTTTTGATTGACATTTCATCACTTCTCTGGGGGTTTGCGTTCAGCGGAGCGGGAAGTGTATGTTCTTTAAGTGTGTCCATCCTGCAGATGTGCAACCAGGAGACGGAGGAAACAAACGACAACGACAACAACGCCCAACTTACGCCTATAAGAAGTGACACCAGTTTGAATCTTGTATTTTATGTACTGCTTTTAAGTTGTTTTAAATTGTCACTTTAGTTCTGTGTCTCAGCATTTTACTAGAGCTGGAAAAAGTACATTAACAAAGGTACCGATTATTCTTTTCATATTTCCATTTCATGCTGTCATATACTTCTGCTACGCTACAATTTTTAAATTTGGGGAATGTAGTACTCTTTAATCTCCTGCATGTATTTGAAAACTTTGGATAATGGTTACTTTACTGATATTTTAAAAACGCAACATATGTTGAGTTTATTATAGATAAAAAATCCCAATAGTTCAATGCAATAACACAATAAATATCATCCTTTAGGACTTACATACTTGATACATACTTGAAGGCATCATTTTAAAATAAATTTTGATTTTGGCTTTGCTGGATGAACCTTCTGATCCAATTAAATGTCTCATTATTTCACTTGTCAAATTTCTTAATGGATTACATTAAAGGCCTATTTCACTTAAATTCATGCTTCAACAATGTGTGAAACTGAGTCAGTTTGTCTTCTTCAGCTCGTCTTTGCATCAACTGGAAAACTGTTTATTTGCTACAAGAATTTTGAAAAAGATATTGTTTGAATTTCCCAAAAGTGTCTCACTTGAAGCTGACGGCGCGATGCGGCATCGTCGACGAATCCTCTCTGGAAAACTTGTACGAGCGACAGCACGAGAAGCGGTGAGAGGAGTCCGTGATTCATCAGCCACCATTCTTCTCCTAATTATGATTTCTATTTTGACATCTGGGGAAAGTCTCTGAAGTGTGTTTGATGCCGTGGAGAACCAGCGAGACGCCTAATGGAGACCGAGTTTGGAAACGGTTGCCAGTCGTCGGTGGGCAATCACCCATGACCCCTTCCCCCTCCTTCCCCCCTCCCCCTCCCCCCCGCGGGGTGAGACTCCGGCGTTTAGCACAAAGCTGGAGCTCGTCATCCGCTAACGTGGAGCCACATGTGCTGAAAACTCTTCAACAACTGGATGTGGACGCCGCATTTTTTCTCAACTTTTTTTGCATTCTTTTAGGATTTTTCACTTACTTATTGACTTCAAAACTTAAACTTAAATCCTGAAAAAAGCAAATGGTGGTGGGGAAGGCTTCTCTCAGAGGGAGGTAAATAGTGCTGATCCTTATGCACACACCCATAATGAGGAGGAGTATTACGCTGTTTGTTGTTGCCTTCCTGTGTTTGTCGCTTTGTCAAAGTCAAAATCAGGAAGTGACGGAGTGCGTTATTAGCCCCCCCCCCCCCCCCCCATCCACCACACCCTTCACCCTGAGAGCGACTCCACGTATCATTCCTCCTTTTTCTTTCTGAACAAACACAACGTTACACTCTGGCTTCTTTTTTTTTTATTCATGAAAAAAAAGAAGAGGAGCAGAACATCAAGGGAACGCCAGGGTGTTAACAGGTGGAGGTGGGTGGGTGGGGTGGGGTGGGGGGGGGTTCCTAAAGGTGCAGCATCCTGACCGGCGGAGGTCAGGGCACCTGTGGCCGTTTTCTCCTCCTCCTCTCTCCCCGCAGGGGGCGCTCGCTGCTACAGGCGCTCACACCTCACGTTTCCATATATTCCGGTTCTCTGAAAGGTGCGTCGGGGGCAGCGGGGGAGGAGGAGAAGAAGAAGAAGAAGAAGAAGAGGAGGAGGCCCGGCTACAGGCGGTCTGAGAGGGGGAGGCACCACAGAGCGTTGATTGGTACGGCGAGCTCTTGCACAGACTGTATTTACAGTAATAAACAATCAATGATTCATAAGATGTGATATTTACAGTTATTACAAATGACGTGTTCAGCGACGAGGAGTCGATGTCTCTCAGCAGTGGATTTAAGAACAATTCACATTGTTTCATCTTTTGTCCACAGAGGAAGAACAAAAAAAAGAAAAAGGAAAGAAATCCTCTTGGTGCCAAAAGAGTCTGGTCAAGTTAATGCCAAGAAATCTGTGGTACAATACAAACAGTTTAATTGTGTAATTAACAATCAATAACCACTTCTAGTTAGAACATGTCTGCAGAAAGGAACCCTTAAACACTTATAAAACAGTCAATCGTAACAAAATAACTGGTGTTCTCCTTGAAATAAACTGATAAAAAAAAGAAACACTTTTTACACAGAATATTTATACAGGAATAGTTTTTTGAATTGGATTGTTAACCAAAGGAAGACACATCGCAGACATCGATTTTCACACAGATTGCATATGTTTTTCTCTCTAAGGTGTTCTATAGGTTAGTCTCAGCGAGTCGTTTTACCTAAGCTTATTTGCATGATAGTAAAAATTGCATACAACATTAATTGTGAAGCTTGTAGCATGAGTTGCTCAACATACAGCACTTTTTATAGGCAACCTTTAAAGCACATTTCTCCATTTAAAACGTTTAAGACACTTTTTGTTTTTACTGCCCATCGAGAATCACATTTATAAATAGAAAAGGAAAGTTCTGTCAAATAAAATAAAAAAATGAAGCTCTACGGAACATAAACATTTTAAAATAAAATAATTACATCAGAAACCCTGCATGAACTGCAAATAAATAATGTTGGACAACATAAACATGGTGAAATTCACATTTCTAACTGTGGCAATTCAGAGTTACAGTGACAAAGGTTTTGCAAAATAATCTAACTTCGGCAGTGCCGTATAGTACAAGGCATTTGTTGGCATAGTTTCTTTAAGACTGTATCTTTTTTTTTTTTTTTTTTTTAACAGTTACAATATAATGTCTTTATATATATATATTTATATTTCCTCCCGAACAAATAATATGTAAAGACTGAGCTATTCTCAGGGAGTCACCTGCGCCAGGTGATGGCGTTCCATAATCACATTATGAGCTTTTTAAAAGAATAACTAATCTGCCTGCAGGCTCCGGACTCGACGCCTCATAATTAAGGCCTTGTCAACCACTTGGTCCTTGATTTCATTAATGATTTTGTTTTTTTTAATCCAGTTGAACATCACATACGTAAACACCAATCAAAGTCCTAGCAAACTCCAGAGAGACTTTTTTTTTCTTCTTTTTTACTTAAATATAGTCAGTAGCTCAAAAAGTTAAAGTAAGTCAGTGTAAAACAACAGACAGAGTGCAGTCAGCAAATATCCACGGCAACGTAATTAGAATCATTTTTTGTGTGCAGATTATTTAAGAGATGCATCAGTCTTTACAGTGAATAATACAAGTTTTACAAAATCGAAAAAGTAGTACTTGTCTGAAATGGGCTTTCCAGTGTGGTCAACACTTCAGAGTCTGACAGTAATATATATATATAGAGATATATATATATAATCACTCCTCATATAGTCCAGACGCTGATTAAAAACACCACTTTTCTTTATTTGCAGTGCGGCGGTTCTATGTCGGCCGGAGCGTTTCCATTTAGCACAGCCGTCTGTGTGTGTGTGTGTGTGTGTGTGTGTGTGTGTGTGTGCGCGCACAACAGGAGCTCTCAGTACATGTTCAGACGGGGGGGGCGTGTATGTGGGTGCGTCCTACTCCTTGGCCTCGTGCTCTGACTGGGCCTCGGCGCCTCGGGCCAGCTGCTCCTCGATCTTGATGGAGAAGATGGTGCTGTTGGTCTGCGTGCTGTCGTCCAGCTCCTTCAGCAGCTCTCCGCTCTCCCTGAAGTCCGTCAGCTCCTCCTCGAAGGCCGGGCTGCTGCTGCTGCTGCTGGTGGTGCTGCTGCTGCTGTTGTTGTTGTTGTTGTTGTTGCTGTTGCCGCCGCTGGGCTCCTTGGCCGCCTTGGCCGGGTGATTGACGTAGAAGCGCTGGTTCTGGAAGAACTTGATGATGGTGAGCTTGGGCAGGTCCAGCTGTGCCGACAGGGTGTGGATGGCCTCCTCGTCCGGGTACAGGCCCACGTCCTGGATGAAGCTCTGCAGGATGCCCAGGGCCTCCAGGGAGATCTTCCCTCCGCAGGTGCGGGCCTTGATGCTCCCTAGGCGGCCGCCCTCCTCCTCCATCTCCGCCGGGGAGGCGGTGGAGGGCTGTCGGGGCGGCAGGCGGGGGCCCGTGCAGGACTGCAGCTGCTGCAAGGGCTGCTGGGACAAAAGGGGTTGGGAGGGGTGCTGCAGGGACAGGGAGGACTGCTGCTGATGGTGCTGCTGATGGTGCTGCTGCTGCTGCTGAGCCTGCGGGGAAGAGAAAGGAGAGGGGGGGGGGGTTATCAGGGAACACTTATCGGCGCCTTAATAAGGCCTTTCATTAAAATCAATTGAGTTGTGAGGAAAAATGTGCCCCACTGTGTGTAGAACAGGCACTTGGTTGAAGGAACTTTCCATGTAATGTCCCATTCAATGCATCTGTTCCGCAGATAGGATTTCTCCCCCCCTTTTTTTAGGTGGTGGTGGGAGATTGTGTCTCTCATTGTTGGGGAGGCGACACACACACACACACACACACACTCAGTGGGAAACTGGCCTCTTTATTATAGGCCGGGCTGCTTATCAGGCTCCTGAGTGGTAAACAAGATGCCGGCGCACAATTCAGGCGGCGATGGCGCGTCCGATTGGCCGCAGTGTGAGAATGCTATCGATGGCCGACTCCCGTTGGTGTAAACACATGACACACTACTCGTAAAATGCCTCATTGTGTGGCTGGAGAGGGAGCGAGTGGGCAACTCGTGGTCCCCATTGACCCCCCGCGAAATGGGTGCTCCTTTTTTTTTTTTTTTTCCCTTTCTGACTCAACAGGCTCGCCGTGGAAACGCCGTTTCGGTAATGAAGGGTGCAAAACAGCACTTTGCAGGGACTCTGTTTGCCAGCTGCTCAAACGCACCCAAAGATGTGCTTTTTTTTACTGTCGCAATAAACCGAGCCACCGTAGTCCTTGTTCAGCATACGGGAGCTGATTTTGCATAATGCGCAAAGGAGAGGCACGAAATGTTTGAACACGAGTCTCTCGTGGACAGTGTAAAACTGGACCGTTAAATCAGAAATAATCCTATTTTATCAATCTTCGGTTTGCATGCAAACTATGCGAGAAAGGAATTCCCTCATTCCATTTGCGCTGCAGAAACTGATTTGTAAAATAAATCCTATTACTTTATTTATATCCAGTAAATGGGCCCCTTTGTGGAACGCTGGCCATGTCCCCCAGTAACCGAATAACGCTGTGGCTCAGACTTTTAACACAAGTTTTATTGTACTTTATTACTTTGACGGTTAATTGAGGTCCTCTGCTTTTTTGTAAAGCAGCTGCTAAACAAGATCAGGTGAATCTTTGAAAATCGCTGAAAGGTTGGAAGTTCTGATTGTTGTGATTGTGTTTCTACAAAGTTCATAAAAAGTGTTTTTTTAAGTCAAATTCTTAAATAAGCAAAACTGAAATAATGAAATGTAGGAAATGTAGGGCGGGACTTAAGCTACCTTACATCCTTGATTCTTGCTTATAAGCTTCTTATGGTTGCCTGGCATAAACCCATGACCTAGTCGAGGGTATGGTGCCTTGCCCGATGGCACGGCGGGCGCACACACACACACACACTTTGCCGCGCTCACCTGCGGCAGCTCGGCGGAGATGTGCATCAGGTGCGTCGGGCGCTCGCTGTGGTGCTGCTGCCCGGCGCTGCTCTCCTGCTCGTAGATGGCGTCGCGCTCGGCCTGGCAGAGGCTGAGGAAGCGGCGGATCATGGAGAGGTTCTCCCACAGCGTGCGGTTCTCCGGAGACGGATCCTCCTTCCAGCGCAGCAGCTCACAGAGCCAGCCCTGAGGGGAAGGCCGGAGGAAACCGTCGATTACCAGTTCATTCCACCGAGGAGCAGATCGCTGGACGTGCTCTCTCGTCTGGTGTGAAAGTAGAAGAGTTCGCGTCCAAATGTGCTTTTGCAAAGCGTCGAAATGAAAGAGATCCAATGTCAATCACACACACACACACACACAGAAAAGCCCATTGTAGCTGCACCTGCGGTTCTGAATGTTTTGCTGATTTGAATCAGCCAAGGTCAAGCATCACAACGGGGAGGAAGGATTTCGCTCTAGACACACACACACACACACACACACACACACTCGCACACAGCGGGGGAGGAAGTGACTCCCATGTTTGAAACGCTCCAGCAGAGGGCCATGAAAGACAGAGCTGGGGAGCAGCGTGGGACAATTAGAATCACAAATGCTTTATTTGATCAAAACAACAGAGTTGTGACCTCGAAGTGTGAAAGATTCACACGACACGAGACAGAATGTGCAGACAAAAGGACGCGGCGACTCATTTGTAGTCTCTCTATATTGTTTTATATTTTGTATATTGAATTTGCAAAAGATAAAATCTTTCCCAAATGGTAATTGGAATTAGTTTCTCATTCAATACACAACCAAGTTAATTTCAATTGATGTTAGAACATCATTTTGACATATTGATACATTTATTATATATAAATAGGAGGACATAGTTGTAATCATGTTACTTTGATTCAGAGCAGAAAAGATCAGATCATCAGATTATTTCTGTTTATATTTCAGATTAATAACTTTTGGTCCCATCTGCTCACTCAATGTGAGTTTCTGCAATTCTTGTCTCATAATAAAGTTAATGTAAAAGTTAAACAACTTAATTCTTCTGATATTTTATCAACCATTAGAGAGAATAAAAGCTTTGGCCAACCGGTGTCACAAAAAGTGCGTTGCTAGATATGTTTGATGTTTTTATTTAAAAAGACTTATTGGACTTGTGGTTTTGTCTCACCACGTTTTATTCATGTGTGTTTGTGTTTGAGTGACGCTCCACGAGGATTCACTGAACGGACAAACAAACCTCAGACGTGATGACCTCAACCTCAGCAGAGCCGTGTGCGCGCGTGTGTGTGTGTGTGTGTGTGAAGGGAAAAACACACAGACACACACACTGTACTGCTGTGTGGGAGAGCGAAAAGGGAGAAGAAGCCACAAGAGGGCTGGAAAGGGAGAGAAGTGGATGAAGAAGGAGGGACGGTCGGGGAGTAAAACCGCGGAGGAGGAAACACGGCGTCAAAGAGGAGCATTGAGTGTGTGTGTGTGTGTGTGTGTGTGTGTGCGCGCGTTACAGAGGGCTACTCTCTCAGCCGGGTAGTCTGTCCTGGCGCCGTGACAGAGCGGCGCTGTAATCTCCCGGCCAGTGAGCGGCAGCACCTTTCATTTCCACAGGATTACACCGCGCTGCTGGTCCACACACACACACACACACACACAGACACACACAGAGGGCCGAGCCACGCCGCCACACTGCATGCAAGAGATAACTCAGCAGTTTGGTCGTCCCCTGTTCCAACTCCTCCCATAAGCCACATCAAACCCAGGAGGGGGGCTTGGAGAAAGGCGAGACGGGGGAGAAAGAGAGAGAGAGAGAGAGACGTTAAGAGAGAGGAGAGCGGGGTGGAGGGGGCCATAAAGCCTGTGTGCCCACCTTGTTCCTTTGCCACGTTTATTGTTGCGTTTTTAATTTGCATGCAGAGGGATTTGGACGGCGCTGCAGTCGGGCTGTCTGTGGTTTCAGCTCGGTAGTGCGGGCGAACACACACACACAAAGCCTGCAAAGAACCACACACAAACCACCACACACCATCTTGTCAAAGCCAGAGAAACCGTACCCCGGCCCAACGGCGGCGTAATCCAAATCAAACACTCCCAAACCAGCAGGATTAAACCCAAAGTAGCAGAGCCAATCAAACAAAGGCACGACGTGAACCCCGCCTCGGTGCCAGGAAGTCCATTTGATGAAATAAAGAACAGAGTTTATTAGTGGGAATGTTTTGTGTTTGTGCTCCACAGTTTTTAAGCTGACACGCGGCTTGGGAAGAAAAAGGGACGCACCAACATTAGCTCAACGTGCCGCGGCGTTTTTTTTAAGTGATGCACGTCGGACCGCACTGTGGACAGCGGACCGTCAGCGGTTTCCACGGCGCTTCCAAGAGCTTTGTTTGTGTTTGTGTAATTGCATTGCTTCCACAGGCCAGCGAGCGAGCGAGCGAGAGAGAGAGGGGAGAAATTAGCAGTTTGACTCCCTTGTTGTCAGTGAACTTTAAAAGAAAAAAAATACGTAGCGAAAAAAACGTCATTCCGCCACAATTTGAAAAATTGGGATGAAAAGCTTACGAACAGCCGGGCATGGCGTCCAACACGTCCTCCTCCGGAGCCTCTCCACCGCTCTCCATCGGATCACGGAACTCGCTGCCCCCTGCCACTAAAGTGTTCCAACGCGCTCCAGGAAAACACAGAAATCTAGGGCTCTTCAGCCCGCCGCACTCTGTTTGGTTGAAGATCATTAAGGGCACTCTATAAATAAATGGAACAGGTAGTTCAGGAGAGGCCCGGTCGTGGGCCGACACACAGCGCGCTCGCTGTGCTTCCGCTGAAGGCTGCTTTATTTCTTATTTTACTTTAGGTAGTAGTAGTGAGTGCCAGGACGCTCATGCAGCTGTTACACCGTAACAACCTAATCTAATGACAGTTCACTCCAACTGTCAATCTTAATCTTTCATTTTATCAAGAAAAGTACCAGCAGGTTGTGATCTGCATTTTACACTAATAAACGAATAAAGAATGAGTACATATGCAGCCCCTAAATGTCACTTCTACCAATAACATTCAGTTGACCGCGTGAGGAAAACAAATGCATCTCAACGGACTCACGTCACCGTCCTGCATCACAGGGAAAAGCAGCGAGAGGAAAAGCCAGTTTGTTTTGATGCTGAATTCATCTCTGCAGAAGCCACAGATGCTGCACACAGGTTCATCGGAGCAATAAGCACCGACAGGCGAAGGATTATCTTGCTATGTTGGCACACACCTGCGACAATATTGCACGATAATCCGCTGCCTCCAGGTCACTGTCGCTTAATTATTAATTAGTTTCAAACAACGGCCGACTGGCGACGGAGGAGCGGCGTTCCTCTCTGGAAGTACGGCGGACGCGCATCTGACCCGAGGCTGAAAGGGCAATAAACTGTTCAGCGGGCCATTGTGTGCTCCTGGTATAAATACACACCGGGTGAAAAAATATAGAATATATATTTCCACCCCCCCTCCAAACCACAATAGTTGGGAGATCCCCCAATAAGCGCACAGGACATCAGCCCGGGTGTTTTCAAGAGAACGCTGCAGAACACCAAAAGCTCAGGGCCGAGAGACAGACAGGCAGGCAGACAGACACGCGGGGGGGGGGGGGGGCTGTCACACGGCCTGGCCAACACCTTCCCTCTAATCTCATTTGCTTGTTATCAGCCCCATCGGACTGACCTCGCCACGGCGAAAAATAAATAAATAAAATAGGCCAACAGATGTCCATCAATTTGCCATTTGAGTTTATTTCTCCCCTCCTTCCTCGGATTACTGCGTGACCGGGAATCATGCTTCAGTCTGCTGCCCCCACATGCCGACTGCGTTGGGACTGTGATCAGGTGACCCCATCGGAGGCCGGTGAAAATCGCCCTCGCGGGCCGCGGCCGGGCGTTGGGAGGACCCGGCTGTTTGGGAGGCAGCAGACAAACCTCTTCTGTGTCTGAACAAGGCAGGGAGCTAAAAGCAGAGGGGAGACAATGCGTTATTGTTTCTCCTCCTCCTCCTCGGACCTGGCAGAGGACCAGCGCTGGCAGACAACACTGTGCAGATAAACGCGGCCGATAACACGCTCCTCCTCCTCCCCCCCGAGCCAAACCGCCGGCTGCACGTGGCGCGTTCAACCCCGCGAGGTAACGCGTGCTGTGGTTAAAAAATAAAAAATAAAACATTAGGCCGCGGTGGACGCCCATCTGCTGACGTCCAGCGCTGAAACCTTCCTGATGCTCGGACATATGCGGATCGCCCGCAACAATAAGCAATAATTCACAGCGAAAGTCAGGGCCAGACGTTTTTTTTTTTTTTTTTTTTCCGGGGCGGGGGAGGGAGGGGAATAAGTCTTTGTGTGCTGATAGAAAAGCTCAGCGCTACGTTGGGAATGATTTCTGGCGTACAGCGAAGGAGACGGGGGTCGCACGGCACCACTTGGGGGAACGGAGCACAAGCATTGCACGCTGTCAGCGTCTTCTTCAGGGTCCACGCAGCCATTGGCAGTGATACGCTGAGTGTTACAGGCATAACAGGAGCATTGGAGTGCATTAATAACAACTCACAGAGTTGATTTAAGTGCCGTGCGTCTCATTAGATAGCAGGTCAGGTGGAAAAAGGCCCGAGCTCCCAAAGAAGGAGTCCATTGAGCCCTTTTAATGGAGCGGAGGCGATCGGGTCGGCCAGCTGTCAATCTGCAGTTCAACCCGGGATCAAACCCGGATTGTGATGGCGGCAAAGCCGCAATGGCAGGTGAATAACGGTTCTTCACTGGGCGTTAGCATGCATGTTAGCAACAGTCTGGCTAAAGGAGGCGATCGCTGAGGAGGTCGCTCCACATCCCTTCATTCAGCCCTCACAGGTGGGACTCATAATAACGCACTCGCCGGACTGGATTTCTTTTTTTATCCTCATACGCACAAACCGCAGAGCTGCTTTTTCATCCAACAGAAAGCTTCTGAAGGTTAAAGTCATCTTAAAAGCATTTGAAACTCAAAGCAAATATTCTTTTGTTATCAAATCATGTTGATTTTACTCTGATATCTTGTCAGAGTGGATGCTTTCCAGATTCCGGTTGCCAGATTGTGTCGCCGTCCTCTTTTGTGAGGATGTCGGTGGCCGAGCTTTTAGGGGAGAATCGAGTCCGATTCACACGAGCCAAACAATTCATCTCCGTTTGAGCCGCG